ACCACAGCCACTCGGTCTTGGAAGGGTTGAGCCTGAGTCTGTTCCTCCCCATCCAGACCCGTACGGCCTCCAGGCAACGGGCCATCACGTCAAGGGCAACGTTGGGGTGGTCTGGGGTGGAAATGTACAGCTGAGTATCGTCAGCGTACTGATGGAAATCCACCCCAAAACCACGAATGATCTCCCCCAGCGGCTTTAATAATTCAGGCACGTATTCTCATGTTTGGTGGACATGTGATAAAGCAAAGAGCTATTGGAAAATGATACATAGTTGGTTAGAAAAGATATTGTAGATTTTAAACCTGAACTCTTCTTACTAGGTATAATGCCAGAAAAGATTAACAAACAAAGCCTATATTTGATTTTACACGTCACAACAGCTGCAAGAATAATGTTTGCGCAATATTGGAAAAATGAAGGAATACCACCAGAGGAAGAAATAATTTAAAAAAAATACTAGAATGTGCAGAGATGGACAGATTGACTATGAGATTGAAAGAAAAAGAAGAAATAGAATATTATCAAACTTGGGACTTATTTTATCAATGGCTAGAGGAAAGAATGAAGGATTAGGAATTAAATATGTATTAACGTTTTTTTAAACCCAGATAGCACGTTGGTTGAAAAATCATATGTATGTAAGAAAAAAATCAGTAAAACCTTATTTTAAAAATGTGGTCAAATAACTGTGGGTGAGTATGGAAACCATGTTGGAACTTTGAAACTGGATCATAAATACTTTTGGGGGGGGTCTATTAGGACTTTGAATGGTCATTAAGCAACCAGTCATAAGTCAAGGACTACTTGTATAGTAATTTGCTAGAAATAATGGAGGAATTTTTTTTTTTAAGTCAATGCTATAACAGAGAGGTAGCTATCTATGGTCTGTGTGAAACAACAGGCTTTTTTTTTTTAAGTCCAGAAATCATTTTACAACACCATGTTTCATCTCTTTACAGCATCCCAATGTAATCTCAGTTTGAAAAAGCAGAGGAGCAGAAGCATCTTTAGCACTTTATTCTGCTGCTTTCGTGACTACAATGTCGAGTCTCCGTCTCCCAACAGCCCCGGTGTCCTTCCTCCATTGGTGGAAGAAAATGGCGGGCTTCAAAAGGTAAGTTAGTTTTTTAATAGGATGTTTTGCAGGGAAGGTAGGGCCTTATATGAGTAAACCCACAATTATAAATTGTCACCTAGTTCATATCAGATAAGGTACTGAATGTCTTCAGTCCTTATTGAGAATCATTGAGGACAAGGCTAATTCTTTTTCTCTTCGTGGCCGTAAGTAGCTGGATCGGAAAAATGGTCAAAGCCTCCTTTAACGAGTTGGTTTAGTGCAGGGGTAGGCCACCTTGGCTCTTTTATGACTGGTGGACTTCAACTCCCAGAATTCCTGAGCCAGCCATGCTGAGGGGAAAGGGAGAAGTTTCCAAGCTGACCTGTGCTGGCTCAGGAATTCTGGGAGTTGAAGTCCATGAGTCATAAAAGAGCCAAGGTTGCCTACCCCTGGTATAGTGTATCCTTTTCTGAAAGCACTTTCTCAGGATCTAGTTATGTAAGACAGCACCCCATCCCTGACCTTCTCTTTATTGGGAAAGTTGTTGATAAGATGGTAGAACTTCAGTGACCGTTCTCTTTTCAGTTGATTTTTAAGTTTGGCATGGAATAAAAATGCCATTTTTACAGTGGTTCCACTATTTGGACTGTACCGGGGTGATGATGGGTGGAGGATCTGCCCTACGGATGCCTCTTTATATGGTCCATAATTCCATCATTCCTACTCTTTAATACCTCCATGAAACCCCTGAGAGCAATCATCTGTTCATCTGGTTTTCTGGCTACTCCAGTTCTGACTCTGGTTATGATAGCAATTTCCCCTGAAGGATCAAATACCCAGCCTGATAATTTTTTGGATTGACAGCTATGCTGTATTTGCCATAGATGCCACTTCTAGGGTGTATATATGCTAGCTATATAACTATGGAAGTTCTCAGTCATCCAGGTCATGATTGTCCCATGTTTTTCAAAAGTCAACTGGACTTTCTTTGTTTTTCCTTGAAGACGTTTTGCTTCTCATCCAAGAAGCTTCTTCAGTTCTAACTGAATGGTGGAGGATGGAAGTGGCCTCGGTGACTCTCAGAGGGAGCGCTAACGACCAGATGACGGCAAGGACTGTAAATCCTTTCATCCTCCACCATTCAGTCAGACTGAAGAAGCTTATTGGATGAGAAATGAAATGTCTTCAAGAAAAAAACAAGAAGGTCCAGTTGCAAGGGGGGAAAAAGCACCTTTGGGTGTGCTAGTATGATCCTGTCTGCAGCAGGAAGTTCTAACTCATTCCTTCCTCACTACTATTGTAGGTTGTTAGACTACTGTAGTGTAGGATCTGCTCTTGAAAATTTCCATGTATAATTTAAAATGCTGGGTTTAACTTTTAAAGCCCTGTGTACCTCCCAGGTACTTTCTGGATTGATTTCTCCAAATATTTCATGCTTATCTCAGACGAAGATGCTTAGAGTTTCCCATAGAAGATACCAGTGCCCCCCCCCAAAAAAATAACCCATATCTCTGTCATGTACATCATCCTGTGGAACAGCATACACCAGTGATGGCGAACCTTTTAGAGACTGAGTGCCCAAACTGCAACCCAAAACCCACTTATGCATCGTTGAGTGCCGGGTAGGTGTGGCCCAGCTGTGGCCTATTGGCTGGGTGTGGGCCAATTGGGTGGGCGTGGCCAATTGGGTGGGCGTGGCTGCGGTGGTAACGGTAGACTGGGTGGGACTAAAATGTTCAATCAATCCATTTCAACTTTGCAAGATCTTTTTTTTTCCCACGAGAAGTTGAAATTGACTGATTGAACCCTCTTTTTTTTTGCACATGGCAGTGGAGGCCTAAAGCGAAAAGGTTTTATAAAAGCCAGCTGAAGGCCTAGGACTGGGGCGACAGCGCGCGTGCCCACAGAGAGGGCTCTGAGTGCCGCCTCTGGCACCCGTGCCATAGGTTCGCCACCACTGGCATACACCCAGAAACTTATCTCCTACCTCTGCTAGCCTCCTTGCAGAAGATGGCTAAGAGAATTTCTCTGAAGGACTCTGAGTTACAGTATAATTTGCTGCCATGTACGTTAATATTGGCATCATGGTTATCATTTTATTATCCTGCTGAAATTGCTTTAATAATTTTAAGTTGAAATTGATTTTATTGTACTCTTGGTTTTATTTCCATTGTAAACTACCATGAGGTAGATTGATTCAGTGGTACATACAATGAATACATTTTTACTCTGTCTGTATCTAGCTATTAAAATAGGCAGTCATCACTTCGCTTTCAAATAGGTAATCGGTTTTCCTTGAATTCAATAATATATTATTGTATTAATGTATTAAATCATGTAAGTCAAATCAGTTGATTTGAAATACAGTGATTGGCTGCAGTGGATGTGCTCTTAAGTATGACTATAACTGGATCCAAGTCCTATTTAAGTTACCCTGTGATAAGATGGGCGGCCAATAAATTCGATAAATAAATAAATAAAATAAAAATTTAAGCTTAGTTACTGAACCTAAGGGAGGGTTAAAAATTAATTGCTAATTATAATAATAATTTATAGATAAATATTGGTCCGGTACTGATGTCACGCTGTATAAGCAGCAGACTAAAACTTATTGGCAGGGCAAAAATCAAAGCTGTAAAAAAGAGCTGGCACTCCGTTTTGCAATATCTGTTGAAAATATCAAAATTTCTAGTAATGGTTCTTTTGCAGTTCCTTGATAATGTCTGTTGACAACATATTTACTTCTCTTAATTTAACCAATTTCTTAAATTCTTCTTCTTTTTTAGTTGGAAAGTCTTTATGTATTAAATCTGACATGTCTGTTTATTTTATGTTCTACTGTTCTGAAATATTACACTCTTACAAACTTATTTTTTTCCCCGTTTTCCCCTCAGGGTGACCAGATGCAGGTCATTCCCATTCCAAGTGTATGTATTTTTTTTTATTCTTTTTATGTTCAGTTTCTTTTAAATGTTCTTGATTTGGGATCAGATAGTTCGTATTTGTGTGTGTGTGTGTGTTGCATGCTGACAAGATCTTACAAACGTGGAACTACAGCTGGACACCTCACAAAACCGTATCTTAGTAAGCACAACTCACAGGAAGCATGAATTCCACTATTCCAGTTTGTTGATTCACTTTCACAAGCTGGCAATACGTGGATGCACAGTAGGTTTTTGTGCAACAACCCTTGTTTATCATGTGCTCAACAACCAAAGGGTAACCTGCAACGTCCTACTTTCCAAAGTGCCTGAAGGCAGGACAAGAAGCAACGGGTGGAAACTAAGCAAGGAGAGAAGCAACCTAGAACTAAGGAGAAACTTCCTGACAGAACAATTAATCAGTGGAACAACCTGCCTCCAGAAGCAGCGAATGCTCCAACACTGGAAGTTTTTTAAGAAGAGACTAGACAATCATTTGTCCGAAATGGTATAGGGTTTCCTGCCTGAGCAGGGGGGTGGAGTAGATGATCTCCAAGGTCCCTTCCAACTTTACTATTACTATTACTACTACTACTACTACTACTATTATTATTATTATTATTATTATTATTATTATTACTTTCTTTTTTCTTTTAAACATTGGAGCATCTTTAAAAAGTTTTCATTCAAAGTTTTCATTCCCACTCATTACTATCATTTTTAATCCTTTATGTCAGTGTTGGCCATTTTAAGATGTGTGGACTCCCAGAATTCCCCAGCCAGAACTCCCAATTGGGGCGGGAGGGGGGAGCAGTGGAATGATAATAACAGTGAGAATCCTAGAAGGGACCTTATTGGTGGATGTTACCTTGATGTTGGGAGAATAGTTGATATCAACATGTTTGTAGGACATGCTTAACTGGACATTGCTAACTTTTAGTCCCATTCAAAGTAAGATCAGTTAGTTACTTTCCATACAGATCCTTTTCTCCCCCTCCATCAGTGCAATCAAATATGTTCCCCATGTCACAAACCACAGGTTTGAAACCACCTTTATTTTTTATTTTTGCCATTGCAGTTGTTAAGTCTCGTGCTGATTTTGTGGTATTTGTATTATTCTTTGTTTTTAAATGTTTAAAACAATTGTAAACCACTCAGAGTCCCAGGGAATCGAGCAGCATATAAATTTATTTTTACAACCACACACATACACACATACAGCATTTTGCAAAAACAATTTGATTTAGCTTCCTCATCTACTGTTTGCAGAAATAAAAGTATTGTATCAGACACTTCATAGCTCATTGCATCATCCAGGTTTTGAGTTAGGGGGTTAACTATGCTACAAATAAAATACAGGTAGTCCTCAACTTATAACAGTTTGTTTAGTGACCATTCAAAGTTACAACGGCACTGAAAAATATGACTATTTTTTACAGTTATGACCTTTGCAGCATCCCCATGATCATGTGATCAAAATTCAGATGCTTGGCAACTGGTTCATATTTATGACGGTTGCAATGTCCTGGGGTCACGTGATCCCCTTTTGTGACCTTCTGACAAGCAAAGTCAATGAGTGAACAACTGATTTACTAACTTATCAGCTGCAGTGGTTCACTCAACAACTGTGGCAAGAAAGGTCGTAAAGTGGGGCAAAACTCACTTAACAAATGTCTCCCTTAACAATAGAAATTTTGGGTTCAATTGTGGTCGTAATTCAAGGACTACCTGTGCACAATAAGGGGAATATGCAGTCCGCATCTATGTTTATTGAGGGGGTACTTTTTCGTTAGATTTACCTCAGGATCTCAAGGTAGCATAAAAAATGCAACGTCTTTTTTTTTCCCAGCACAATAAGCTTGCAAAGTAGGTTGGGCTGAGAGGGAGAGGGTGGCCCATAATCAAACAGTGGCTTCTGGGGTTAGGGTGGATTAGACTTTAGATCATACCAGGATCAGCCCAGGCTCTTAATCATTACGCCATACACCAGCTCTCTGTGTCTTTTAACCTGCATATCATTTTAATTCCATGAGAAAAATATGTCTTAACGCAGCGATTTAAATCATGGATTTCATTCCCAGCCCTGAAATAGTCACCCCAGAGAAGAAAGGGGAACACCTCTCATTAATGACCAAGAAACCCCCTTGCAAAATCATGAGAAAGCATTTGCCAAGGGATGGTTAAGAAAGTGATATAGTAGATCAATCGATCAAAATAGAACTGGAAGGGATCTTGGAGGTCTTGCAGTCCTACCCCTTGCTCAGGCAGGAGACCCTATACAATTTGAGATAATTAGTTGTCCCATTCTTTTTTTAAAAAAAAAAAACATCCAGTGATGGAGTGCCCATAACTTCTGGAGGCAAATCATTCCACTGATTAATTATTCTCACCGTCAGGAAATTTCTCCTTAGTTCTAGATTATTCTCTCTTTGATTAGTTTCCATCCATTGTTTCTTCTCTTGCCTTCTGGTGCTTTGGAAAATAAGTTGACTCCCTCTTTTTTGTGGCAGCCCCTTAAATTCTGGAACACTACTATCATGTCACCCCTAGTCCTTTTTTTCTCTAAACTAGCTATACCCAGTTCTTACAATCTTCTTTTCTCTAGACTAGCCAAACCCAAATCCTGGAACTGTTCTTCATATGTTTTAGTCTCCAGGCCTTTAATCATTTTAGTTGCTCTTCTCTGCTCTTTTTCTGAAGGCTCAACATTTTTTTTGTAGTGTGATGACCAAAACTGGATGCAGGATTCCAAGTGTGGTTTTACTAAGGTTTTATAAAGCAATACTAGTATTTCAAGTGGTTTTGATTCTGTGCTTCTGTTTATACATCTCATTTGATCAAATGATTTCATTTCTCTGTTCCTGTTTTTGTATACTCTCTTTAAAGGTCAAAGGGTTTTTACAGGACAAAGAAGCCTGTTATATCCAGCAGTGTTTAGGGACTGACAACAATGAGATACAAAAACAGGAATAAAAATATTGCTCAGAGAAATCTGTAGTACCACTTTATTGATAGGCTATTGCCCAAGACCACTAATAACAAAATAACAGAGTTGGAAGGGACCTTGGAGGTCTTCTAGTCCAACCCCCTGCTCAGGCAGAAAACCCTATACCATTTCAAATAAATGGTTGTCCATTCTCTTAAAAGCCTCCACAACTTCTGGAGGCAAGTTGTTCCAATGATTGGAACATCCACAACTTCTGGAGGCAAGTTGTTCCAATGATTAATTGTTCTAACTGTCAGGAAGTTTCTCCTTAGTTCCAGGTTGCTTCTCTCCTTGATGAGTTTCCATCCGTTGCTTCTTGTCCTGCCTTCAGGCACTTTGGAGAATAGCTTGACCCCCTCTTCTTTATAGCAACCCCTGAGATATTGGAACGCTGCTATGACATCACCCATAGTCCTTCACCCTTGGGAAGAGATTTCTGCATTTTCATTTCTGTTCTAATGTCAAGAAATTTCTCTGCTTCTCTCCTTGATTAGTTTCCATCCGTTGCTTCTTGTCCTGCTTTGGAGAATAGCTTGACCCCTTCTTCTTTGTGGCAGCCCCTCAGATACTGGAACCCTGCTATCATATCCCCCCTAGTCCTTTTTTTCATTAAACTAGACATACCCAATTCCAGCAACCATTCTTCATGTCTTTTAGCCCCTCATCATCTTTGTTGCCCTTTTCTGCACTCTTTCTAGAGTCTCAACATTTTTATATCATGGTGACCAAACCTGAATGTGGTATTCCAGGTGTGGTCTTACCAAGGATTTATAGAATGGTATTGACAGTTCAGGTTATTTTGAATCTATCCCTCTGTTAATACAGCCCAGGACTATAGATCCTATAATAGATCCTATAGATTCTGTAATTACAGCTAATCCTCAAATTATGACCATAATAGAGCTTGACCATCAAGGTCATAACTTGGGATGGTAGTAAAACAGGTTGGGTTATGATTTTATGACCTTTTTTGTGGTAGTTAGGCAAATCAGTGGTTCTAAATAAATCAGTGGTTTTCTATGGCTGAAGTTTTACTGAAAACCAGAAATAAATGCTGGTTTTTAACAAAATTGTCATAAAATATGGTTATGTGACTGCAGGATGCTGCAAGCAGCCGTAAGTGCTTTCACATGACCGTGGGGGCGACTGTCAGAAGTTTGAATCTAGTTCATAAGTACCCCCAAAGGTAGGTCAGTCAGACTTTGAATGGTTGCTAAGCAACCGGTCATAAGTCAAGTACTACTCCCTAGTCTGGATGTGAAAAATAAAACAAAATTGTCACAATCTAATGATATTGTTAAAATCAGACATGGCCATTTTTTAAAGAAATGAATAATTTGATGAGATTCTGTATGTTATAGTCCCCTGCGGTGCTGCCTTGCCCAGCTACAAGGTGTTTGTTTAATTCTTAAAACTCAGGTGATACTTAGAGTTCCATAAAGTGGTTTTCTTCCCCCCCCCCCCACTTTATGGCTAATATTCCCAGCCTGTATGATTTCAAGGTAGGGAAGTTGCACATATGTGGGCATAGTATGGTTCTGAATATCTCTCTTGATGTTTATAAGGCTTTCTGGTCCGTTTCCCACACTCTCACACACTTAAAATATTTTCTTTCTGGGAATTTGGTGGGTTCAATATCCTGAACCATCTGGATTAATAATATTGCTTCATTTGAGCCAGAAGGGTTCTTAAAAAAACAAGAATTAAGGATTTTCTCGGTCCGGTCTTAAAATAGGGAAGGGAGGCCAGGGCATAAATTACTAAAGTAAAATTCTTGTTGTTTTGTTTTGTGTTCTGTGTATTTTGTTCTCTTTTTTTTCTCTTGGACATACAGTATGTTGAACAAAATACACAGGTAGTCCTCAATTTAGTGACCATTCGGAGTTACAATGGCACTAAAAATACCTGACTTACAACTATTTTTCATACTTATGTATTATTTCCATCATCACAAGATTTACATTCGGATGCTTGACAACTGACTCACATTTTTGACAGTTGCTGTGTTCCCGGAGTCATACGATCCCCCTTTGAGACCTGATAAGTAAACCCGATTCACTTAACCTTGTTACTAATTTAACAACTGCAGTGATTCGCTTAACAAACATGGCAAAAAAAGATCGTAAAATGGGTCAAAAATCACTTAACAAATTTCTCATTTAACAATATAAATTCTGGGGTACATTGTGGTCATAGGTTGAGGACTACCTGCACGTGAGGGGCTGCTACATTTCTGTGTTTTTCTGACATTCATCAGTCTGTATTTTGTTAACTTGATCTTACGTTGGGGGAAAAATTGTGACAGTTGTCTGATTTTTGCCTCCCACTGAATTTATTAACCAAGATGCTTGTCTCTAAACCTGCTTGGATCTCTGTCTGTAAAATTATTATTTTGTGATTGGCCATAACCACGTGGAATTTTGTCAATTACTGATAATACTCTCTCAGATGACTCCCTGGGATTGCCCATTCAGTCAAATTGTAAAAAAAATAAAACCCGTTGTGGATCTTAGTCCTAGTTTTTTAACCATTTGGAATACAGGTCTGAGGCTATAGTGCAGTGGTGGCGAACCTATGGCACGGGTGCCAGAGGCGGCACTCGGAGCCTTCTCTGTGAGCACACATGCCGTTGCCCTAGCCTTACCTCCCCCCGCGACCCCCTCACCAGCAGCCCCCCGGAGGAGAATCGCCCCCGAGCGTGGCCCACCTGGAGCAGCGCAGCCATGGACATGGCAGCCAGGCAGCGTAGACAAGACATTGCCCTCACGCCTCATTGTGCACAGTTGATGCTGTGGGTGCGGGCAGAGTGTGTGGCTGCCATGGCACTGCTGGGCTGCCTGGACGATCTGCGGCGGGCCCTGGAGGCGGTGAGTGGCCCTGTGGGCAGGCGGGGCGGGGGTGGAGCAGGGGTGGGGCCAGTTTTTGGTCACTCAGTCTCTAAAAGGTTCGCCATCACTGCTATAGTGGAAAGATTTTGCTCTTCTGTTTCAGATCTTTCCATCTTGTTTTCCCCAGGGATCTCTCATAATAGACAGAAATGCTGATTTGGGGGAAAATACAGGTAGTCCTTGACTTACGAACCACAGTTGAGTCCCAAATTTCTGAGACAGTTATTAAGTGAATTTTGCCCCGTTTTACGATCTTTCTTGCCACAGTTGTTAAGTGAATCACTGCGGTTTGTTAAGCTAGTCACATGGTTGTTAAGTGAATCAGGCTTCCCCATTAACTTCGTTTGTCAGAAGGTTGCAAAAGGGGATTGTGTGACCTGCAACCGTCACAAATACGAGTCAGTTGCTAAGCATCCGAATTTTGATCACGTGACCATAGGAAGGCTGCAACAGTCGTAAGTGTGAAAAACCGAAGTCCCTTTTTTCAGTGCTGTTGCAACTTCGGACAGTCACGAAATGAACTGTTGTAAGTCGAGGACTACCTGTATACCATTGAAATCCTTTACAGTCCATACAAAAGAAATGTGGTTCCAGGTATTTGTTTAACAAGCCATAAATAATTTAATTATGACTATATTGGTTTTCACCAATCGTTATGGGCATTCCTAACATCTTGGAGGTGTTCCTTTTTTCTTTTTTGTTTAGCCACCAGCTAAATATCTCTTGCCAGAAATGACAATATCTGATTACGGGAAGAAATGCGTGGTCATTGATCTTGATGAAACATTAGTTCATAGCTCCTTTAAGGTACGTATGCTGTTCAATATTTCTTTTAGCTTTTTGATAAGCACATGAAAGAACACAGGCATATCTTCTCATTAAATGTCCTTTCTAGATCCTAAAATGTCTTTGCTGTTATGGTAACCTCATTCATGAATGGCCATGATATCTAGTGGTTTATAGCTATATATATCCCTAAGACCAGCTCAAAACATGTTGCTTTCCGTCAATCAAATGAAACAAACATTAATTAAGAATCCAGGCAATACGTGTGCATGTGTTAATTCCCAAGGAGGGCAGCAATAATCACTTTTGTTCTGTAGAAAATTTCGATGTAGTTGTTGTTGTTAGTTGCGAAGTCGTGTCCGACCCATCGCGACCCCATGGACAACGTTCCTCCAGGCCTTCCTGTCTTCTACCATCTTCTGGAGTCCATTTAAGCTCACGCCTCCTGCTTCAGGGACTCCATCCAGCCACCTCATTCTCTGTCATCGTCCCCTTCTTGCCCTCCATCTTTTCCAGCATCAGGCCCTTCTCCAATGAGTCCTTGGATGTAGTACTTCACTCTATATAAAATATTACATGTATTTATTCCCTTATTTCCTAAAACATTTAATTACTGCCAGTTACAATTCTTATTGAAGAAATACTTTTCTTGAATTAATTTCTTTGCAATAGTGTAATACAATTTATGAATCCGATCAAGCAACAGTTGAGACAGAGCTTAAATAAGAAATAAAATATTATATGGGATTAATTTTAACTACAAATACTTCTTGCTTATCAACAGTAATTGGGGTCAGAAATTCTGTCACTAAGTGAGGTGGTCGTAAAGTGCAACAGTTTTGTTAGGCAAATCCCCACAGGGTTATATCATCACAATCACTTAATTGCTGTGACCTTTGCAACTTCCTTCCCCATTGATTTTGCTTGTCAGAAGCTGGCAACGAAGGTCGCAAATGGCAGTCACATGACCACACGACACAGCATTGTCATAATTGCGCACCAGTTGCTAAGCATCTGAATTGCGATCCTGTGACCTTGGGAACTACAATGGCCACAACTGGTTGTCCTCACAGAGAAGAGAAGAGCAACAAAGATGATTAGGGGACTGGAGGCTAAAACATATTTAAAAAGGCTGCTGGAGTTAGATATGTCCAGTTTGATGAAAAGAAGGGCCAGGGGTGACATGACAACAGTCTTCCAATTTTTGAGGGGCTGCCACAAAGAAGAGGGGGGGTGTCAACCTCTTCTCCAAAGCACCTGAAGGCAGGACAAGAAGCAACGTCGGGAAACTAATCAAGGAGAGAAGCAACCTAGATATAAAGAGAAACTTCCTGACAGTGAGAACAATTAACCAGTGGAACAGCTTGCCTCCAGAAGTTGTGGGTGCTCCAACACTGGAGGTTTCCAAGAAGAGATTGGACAGCCACTTTTCTCAAATTGTATAGGGCAGAGGTAGGCAACCTTGGCTCTTTTATGACTGGTGGACTTCAACTCCCAGAATTCCTGAGCCAGCCATGCTGAGGGGAAAGGGAGAGGTTTCCAAGCTGAGCCATGCTGGCTCAGGAATTCTGGGAGTTGAAGTCCACCAGTCATAAAAGAGCCAAGGTGGCCTACCCCTGGTATAGGGTCTCCTACCTGAACAGGGAGTTGGACTACTAGAAAATGTGTAAGCTCCCTTTCAATTCTGATATTCTATTATTATATTAAGTCCTCCCTCATTCGATGCTGTTATAACTTTGAATGATCTCTAAATAAATGGATGTCAAACAAGGACTATACCGGTATCGCAGAATAATAAGTAGCCAAAATGCAAATCCTATCTAGTTGTATATCATGGCTTATAAGCACGTGAAAAACAGTATGCCCCCACTCTTTAAATTTTCTGAATGTTTGCAAGTATTTGGTAATGAGTATCATCACAGTTTCGTATATGTCCTGCTGATACATAATGGGAATCTTCATTTACAACAGATTAATCAAATGCCAGATATTTATTTCGGAAACAAAGTCATCTAACCTGTAATGTTCCAGTGTGAAAAAGGAATTGCTCCTCAGTTCAGTTAAAGGGATTACAGGTAGTCCTCAACTTACGACCATAATGGAGCCCCAGATTTTTGTTGCTAAGTGAGACTTTGTTAAGTGAGTTTTGTCCCGTTTTACGACCTTTCTTGCCAATGTTGTTAAGTGAATCACTGCAGTTGTTAAGTTAGTAACACGGCTGTTAAGTGAATCAGGCTTCCCCATTGACTTTGCTTGTCAGGAGGTTGCAAAAGGGGATTACACGATCCCCAAACTTTGCGACCGTCATAAGTATGAACCAGCAGCCAAGCATCTGAATTTTGATCCTGTGACCGGGGGGTGGTGGTGTGCTACAATGGTCATAAGTGTAAAAAACGGGCATAAGTCACTTTTTTTAGTGCCATTATGAGCAGTCACTAAACGAACAGTTGTAAGTTGAGAACTACCTGTACTAGGATAGGTCTGGCTCTCAGTCTGGAAAAGTACAAAGCTTTCTAGTGAAGTTTTTAGGCAGGGGTCTTCAAACGTGGCAACTTTAAGACTTGTGGACTTCAACTCCCAGAATTCCTCGGCCAGTCAATGAATGCTCTAACACTGGAAGTTTTTAAGAAGAGGCTGGACAGCCATTTGTCTGAAATGGTGTAGGGTTCCTGCCTGAGCAGGGGTTTGGACTCGATGACCTCCAAAGTCCCTTCCAACTTTATTATTATTATTATTATTATTATTATTATTATTATTATTATTATTATTATTATTATTATTATTATTATTAATAATAATAATAATAATAATAATTTATTATTTATTATTTATTATTTATTATTTATTATTTATTATTATTATTATTATTATTATTTAATTATTAATTATTATTATAAGTCTTAAAATTGCCAAGTTTGAAGACCTTTGATCCAGATAGTCCTCGACTTTACACAGTTCATTTAGTGACTGTTCAGAGTTACAATGACACTCAAAAAAGTGGCCTAGGACCGCTTTTCACAGTTACAACCTTTGCAGCATCATGTGATCAAAATTCAGATGCTTTGCAAATTAGTTCATTCTTATGAACGTTGCGGTGTCCCGGGGTCACGTGATCCCCTTTTGCAACCTTTGGACAAGCCATGTCAATGGGGAAGCCGGATTCACTTAACAACTGGGTTACCAACTGATCAACTGCAGTGATTCACTTAACTGGGGCAAGAAATGGGGGCAAAACTCAAAAATGTTTTACTCAACAACAGAAATTTTTGGCTTAGTTGTGGTTGTAAGTCGAGGACTACCTGTAATATGATCTTCTAGGAGGCCTCAGGCCTGATCAGATATAATTGCATCTCATGTTCCATTTAATAAAATCATTAGCATCTATTTTTTACTTAAGGTCTTCTTTGAGCTGAACTCGCCTCCTGGGTATTTTATAAAACCAGAATCAGAATCAGAATAGAGCTGGAAGGGACCTTGGAGGTCTTCTAGTCCAACCCTCTGCTCAAGCAGCAGACCCTAGACTATTTAAGACAAGTGGCTGTCCAGTCTCTTCTTGAAAACCTCCAGTGATGGAGCACTCACAACTTCTAGAGGCAAGTCGTTCCACTGATTGATTGTTCTAACTGTCAGGAAGTTTCTCCTTAGTTCCAGGTTGCTTCTCTCCTTGATTAGTTTCCATCCGTTGCTTCTTCTCCTGCCCTCTGGTGCTTTGGAGAAGAGGTTGACCCCCCTCCTCCTTGTGGCAGCCCCTCAAATACTATCATGTTCCCCCTAGTCCTTCTTCTCACTAGACTAGCCAAACCCAAGTCCTGCAACCGTTCTTCCTAGGTTTTAGTCTCCAGGCCTTTAAACATCTTAGTTGCTCTTCTTTGCACTTTTTTCAAACTCCTGTGGCTTTCTTGGAAACAATACAGAAATGGTTTGCCATTGTCTCCTTCCATTTTTTTTTTAAGCTCCCCAGTCTAGCCTGCAGCCTGGAATCCCCTCGAAATCTCTCATCCCAGTTCTGATCAAGCCCTGCATATTTTTTGAGCAATGCCAGCCTAGTAGTGCAATCTGGTGGGAGATCTTGATAGTACATATATTAACTAAGGAGACGATATTGCAGCCTCCCCTACTCACATGATCCTCATTTAACGACCTGCATGGTCCTCACTTAACAACAGCAACTAAGACTGCCGGAACTGTCATTGCTACCGGTACGTAGTGTAGTCATGTGGGTTTTTTTTTCAACTTATATCATTTAATGAGATAGTTTCCCATCCCAGTTAGTATTGTTAAATGAGGACTACCCATATATGGTCTGGGTAATTCACTCCCCAAGGAAGACTGTTCTGAAACAGCTTTAAGGCCTGGTCTTCCATAGAGCTGGTTACGGAATTTTGGCCCAATCAGCAGGAGAGGGTGAGTTCTAGTCCCGCCTTAGGCATGAAAGCCAGAATATATTTATAATAATAATAATAATGATAATGATAAAGTTGGAAGGGACCTTGAAGGTCATCTAGTCCAACCCCCTGCTCAGGCAGGAAACCCTATACCATTTCGGACAAGTGGCTGTCCAGTTTCTTCTTAAAAACTTCCAGTGTTGGAGCATTCACCGCTTCTGGAGGCAGGTTTTTAAGTAAGTAATATGTGTATTTTAGATACTATAACTCCTGTGCAGTGAAATAAAGGAAATTTGGGTTACCAGAAATTTAAATACTATGGATGTTAAAGGTTAAATTGGAATACTGTAATTAAAAATTAGGTAAAACTTAAAAACAGGATATGGATATGGATATATATAAGCAAAAATAGATTGTTAAATGTTTTAACTGAGCTTGTCACGGTTAGAAATTTACTAGTTTAAGTATGATATATTAAATGTTAAGGGTAATAGAGAAGGAATTTTTGATAATGCAGCCTGAGATGGGTACTAAAGACCTTGTTATTGAACTATTGACTACCCAGTCACCACACAGTTTCCAAGCACTTAAATGTAAAACTGGAAAACCAATAAAATTTGTTATATATTAAAAAAAGGCAGGATACTACTAAATAAGTTAGAAACATTTCTTCAGATTTTGGATAGTGAAACAACAGGTCTGTGGGTAAAACCAATAAGAGAGCAGGGAATACTTTAGGTTTTCTTTTCTTCCACTTCCTAAGTTCTTACTTCATAAGATAAGGAAAAATTTGAAAATGACATTCTCCTATTGCAGTGGTGGCGAACCTATGGCATGCGTGCCAGAGGCGGCACTCAGAGCCCTGTCTGTGGGCACGTGTGCCATGCCCTGGAGATGGCAACCATCCCTCTTCAACCAGCCGCTTGCTAACTCGCCGAGGTCCCACGTGGCTGGATGCATCCCAGCATGGCTGGTTTCCCTCCTCCCTGACCCGTCCCTCCTGGCCTCGCATGCTCTCCTTTTCCTGGGCACAACCCACTGCATCGCCTCCTCACCTATTGGTCGCCCATCCAGCTCAGAGGCGGCTTCTTTGAATTGCTGGCGGTGGGCTGTGGAATCCCAGAGGGCACCGGTCGAGAGGCTGGGAGGCGGTGGCTGCTGACAGACACTGTTGGCCCCCATGCGCTCGCTGGCCTCTGTGTGCGGGGGCCGATAGTGTCAGGCAGCAGCCAGCCTGGCCCTTGCCTTCATCCCCACCCTGCCTCACCTCACCCCCCCCAGGACGAGCCTCCTGCCTACCGTCCCACCTGCCAAAGACCCCCTGGATCTCCCCCAACCCTGCCCACCCCCCACAGGCATCCCTCTCCACGAGCAACATTGAGGTGACCACGCCCACATTGGCCACATCCACCCAATCTGCCATGACCACCACAGCCACGCCCACCCAGTGGGCCACGCCCACCTGGCACCCGGCGATAAATAAGTGGCTTTTGGGTTGCAGTTTGGGCACTCGGTCTCTAGAAAGTTCGCCATCACTGTCCTATTGTATTCTCAAATGTGTTGTGAACCATTCTTACTGCATTCAGTTTTATGCAAATACAGAGAGTCCTTGACTTAAACCAGTTCGTTTAGTGACTGTTCTAAGTTACAAAGGCATTGAAAAAAGTGACTTATGACCGTTTTCCACACGTACAACCATTGCAGCATCCCCCTGGTCACGAGATCCAAATTCAGACGCTTGGCAACTGGCTCATATTTATGACGGTCGCAGTCTCCCAGGTATCACGTGATCCCCTTTTGCGACCTTCTGACAAGCAAAGTCAATGGGGGGAGTCTGATTCACTTAACAACCGTGTGACTAACCTAGCAACTGCAGTGATTCACTTAACAACTGTGTCAAGAAAGTTCGCAAAATGGGACAGAACTTACTTAACAACTGTCTCGCTTAGCAACAGAAATCTTGGGTTCAGTTGTGGTCGTAAGTCGAGGACTACTTGTACCAGCCTGGGAAATAAAGAAAAGACATTAACCCCAAGCAGATCCATTAGCTCCTGTTGAACTGAAGGCTGGAGTCTTTCTCTTAATTCCAGGATTTCTTATAGCAAATAATCGCTTTTTCCTAGTAACCGATTCTGTTGGTAGTGTAACAGTTATGGGATATGCCTTTCTTCAGTTTATTAAGAGAAAGGGGGAAAAAAATTCCCTTCTGCTTGAGAGAAGGTACAGCCTGCTCCAGCTTTTAATAACACCTTCTTTATTGGTTTTTTAAAAAAGAGCATTTTGCTTAGGTATTATGACTATATTATAGAAATCTGCCAAATACATCTTAGCAAAATATTGGAATACATCTCTCCAATATATGAACAGGATAATCCCAGTCTCTTTGGTAAGTGTAAAAGGAGTTATCTCTGCCGGTTGTTAACCTGAAGTATGCAGATTAATGCCTTGTGGGCCATGTTATGATTTTGGTAAGTTTCTCTAGAGCAGCGGTTCTCAACCTATGGGTCGCGATCCCATTTGGGGTCGATCGACCATTTCACGGGGGTCGCCAAGCAAGGCTGTCCGCCATTTTTTTCCCCTTTTCTGGCGGGTGCCTTACCTCCCTTGGGCTGGGCCAGCTGGTGGTCGGCCTGCTCCTTCTCTGCCGCTTGCCAGCTACACCTCGGCCGGCGCAGGGGCCAGAACCACGCATGCGTGGCGCTCCCGGGCAGGGAAAGTCCTCAACTTACGACCGGTTGGGTAGTCCTCGACTTACGACTGGTTTAGTCCTCGACTTACGACCGGTTTAGTCCTGGACCTACGACCGGTTTAGTCCTCGACTTACGACCGGTTGGGGTCGCGGCATTAAAAAGGTTGAGAACCACTGCTCTAGAGCAAGTGTAGGCAACCTTGGCTCTTTTATGACTGGTGGACTTCAACTCCCAGAATTCCTGAGTCAGCATGGCTCAGCTTGGAAACTCTCTCCATTTCTCCTCAACATGGCTGGCTCAGGAATTCTGAGAGTTGGAAGTCCACGAGTCACAAAAGAGCCAAGGTGGCCTACCCCTGCTCTAGTCTAGACTCTGCAGACTAGAAATCATTCTTTTTTAAAGATCATTTTGTTTTTGCTTTTCTAGCCAATTAGCAATGCTGATTTCATTGTTCCAGTTGAAATTGATGGAACTATACATCAGGTAAGAAGTACTATTTGCATTTTTATATGGGGGTGGCGAATTGCTTTGCGCCTGTCTAGAAATTGCCTAGGTTAGCTTGGCAAAGAATGAAGTTTTGGAGTTAACGGACAAGTTAAAATGAGTGAGTTTTCGGGATGGCAAGAGTTTCAGCTTGAAAGCTATTTCAGTTCAAATGGCTGAACTGTCAGTAGAATTGTAAAAGGGGGTGGCTTAAACCAGTAACAGTGATTGTTTCAACTCAAAAGGATATTTTGTTGCTTCGTCTTGTTGTCATAATCTTATTCAGATGAGGGTATATAAAACTATGATAAACTCTGAACAGTTGTTACTGATTTTAGTAGGCAATGATGTTTTGCATTTAATCCTCTTTTTCTAAAGGACAGCATTCTTGGTATGTCTTTCCAGGAGAGGCTATGACCGGGTTCAAGTAATCCAGGATAGGCTGTGTGCACTCTTAGTGGCCTATCCTTGAGTACTTGCACTGGGATGTAGCCACAACGCAATAAAGAAGATGCTGGGAAGTCCAAGTCTACATATCTTCTTCTCACTTTTCCAAAAAAGAAGGCCTGCAGCTAAAGATGTATCTCAAGAGTGGAGTGGGGTGGAATGGAATGGAATGGAATGGAATAGAATAGAATAGAATAGAATAGAATAGAATAGAATAGAATAGAATAGAATAGAATAGAATAGAATAGAGCTGGAAGGGACCTTGAAGGTCTTCTAGCCCAGCCCCCTGCTCAAGCAGGAGAACCTATACCATCTCAGACAAGTGACTGTCTAGCTAGTCTCTTCTTAAAAATCTCCAGTGATGGAGCACCCACAATTTCTGGGGGCAAGCTGTTCCACTGGTTAATTGTCCTCACAGTTAGGAAGTTTCTCCTTAATTCCAGGTTGCTTCTCTCCTTGATCAGTTTCCAACCGTTGTTTCTCATCCTCCCCTCTGGTGCTTTGGAGAATAACGTGACCCCCTCTTCCTTGTGGCAGCCCCTCAAATACTGGAATACTGATATCATGTCTCCCCCAGTTCTTCTTTTCTTTAGACTAGCCAAACCCAAGTCCTGCAGAGTAGATTACCTCCAATTCAGAAAGTCAATTAAACACATCCAAAACTAAACTACGGGTTGACACAATACCTATAATGTTTGTCTCTCTCTTCCATTGTACCTCTATCTTAAGTCAGAACAGGTAGTCCTTGACTTACAGGCATTTGTTTAGTGACCGTTTGAAGTTATAACAGCATTGAAAGATGTGACGTATGACCTTTTTCATACTTATAAGACTGTTGTAGCGTCCCCATGGTTACCTGATCAAAATTCAGGCACTTCACAACTGATGTGTTTAGGATAGCTGCATTGTCCCAGGTTCATGTGATCACCATTTGTAATCTTCCCAACCAGCTTCCAACAAGCAAAGTCAGTGTGGGAAGCTGGATGTGCTAAATGACATAGGATTCAGCTTAACAACTGTTCCCAAAAAAGTGGGAACAAAATGGGGCAAAAGTGGCCTTACCAAGGCATTGTAGAGTGGTATTAATACTTCAAGATCACACGAAGTATTAATACCACTCTACAATGCCTTGTTAAGGCCACACTTGGAATACTGCATCCAGTTTTGGTCATCACGATGTAAAAAAAGATGTTGAGGCTCTAGAAAGAGTACAGAGAAGAGCAACAAAGATGATCAGGGGACTGGAGGTTAAAACATACAAGGAACGGTTGCTGGAATTGGGTATGTCTAGTTTAATGAAGAGAAGGACGAGGGGGGACATGATAGCAGTGTTCCAGTATCTCAGGGGCTGCCACAAAGAAGAGGGAGTTAAGCTATTCTCCAAAGCACCTAAAGGCAGGACAAGGAGCAACGGGTGGAAACTAACCAAGGAGAGAAGCAACCTAGAACTAAGGAGAAACTTCCTGACAGTTAGAACAACTAACCAGTGGAACAACCTGCCTCCAGAAGCGGTGAATGTTCCAACACTGGAAGTCTTTAAGAAGAGACTGGACAGCCATTTGTCCCAAATGGTATAGGGTTACCTGCCTGAGCAGGGGGTTGGACTTGATGACCTCCAAGGTCCCTTCCAACTTTGTTGTTGTTGTTATTATTATTATTAATAATAATAATAATAATAATAATGATAATAATAATAATAATAATAATAAAAGTCACTTAACAACTGCCTTGCTTAATAACAAAAAATTTGGGCTCAATTGAGATTGTAAGTTGAGAACTTCCTGTATTTATTTCCATATTCAATAATTATGTAAGAGGAATAACATTTCTTGAGTTAGCATGGATACGTTTTATTGCATTAACTGTAGTTATTTGCTGAAGTATTTTAGCTACACTCCTAACAATAGCTTTAATAGTAAAAGCTATGAAAATCCATTCACAAATCCGGGATTTTGCCATTTTGAAAATGAAACAAAATGAAATAGGAGTTCACTTTCAGAACAAAATCTTCCTCTTTTGGGAGGCTAGAAAAAGAGAGCATTGAACCCATTCATTCTTTTTGCCGAGGAATACAATTTCTTTGAGTTAGTAGATTAACGATTCTTTAATTTTAAAATTACGTCCTTTTAAGTTTATACTGTCTTGCCTGAAGCATCTCGCTGATTTATACAGGAACAAAACCCACTAGCTAGGTACCGATCCAGCGGGACTTCACTTTGCCTCTCATATTTATCAAAATATAAATTGATTCTCCAGGATTGTGAACTTCAGCTGTCTCTGCGCATTCTTGAACCTCAGTGGCTGCCTTCTTTCTTTACCTTCAGGTTTATGTATTAAAACGGCCACACGTGGACAAATTTCTTCAGAGGATGGGAGACCTCTATGAATGTGTGCTATTCACAGCCAGCCTAGCAAAAGTAAGTCGTGCAATTGGCGGGCCTCTTATTCTCACAATTTTGCTTCATTTCAGGACTACAAAGTTGGACACAGCACCCTCTCACTAGGGTTAATTTTGTAACATTGGCCTAGCTCAGGGGTAGGCAACTTTGGCTCTTTTATGACTCGTGGACTTCAACTCCCAGAATTCCTATGCTGGCTCAGGAATTCTGGGAGCTGAAGTCCACGAGTCATAAAAGAGCCAAGGTTGCCTACCCCTGGCCCTAGCTGGGCCAGCTGTCCAGCATTTCTGAAGAAACGGGGCATTTGGTGAACATTTAACAATTCAGTTTTCTTCCTTTACCCACATCTCCTACAAGGAAAGTTGGGTCTGTGGTTTTTTTTGTGTGTTTTTTTTTTTTTTTGGCATGTCATATCAAATAAGGAGAAAATAATTATCTTCATCTTCATTTCCCTCCCACCCCTTTTTTTCTTCTGCTTTCTTTATCTGGCAACGTGTACTTTTGTCTGCTAATGTGTGGGTAAGTGTTTCCATGGTAACAGTATCACATATGGGCTCGTCTCATAACTTAGCCTTCCTGCATTGCTCCTGATGCCCAATATGGGAGGCTTTTTTTAGTTACCATGGTTATGTGAGGGTAGAGAGAAAAATAGCTTATTACATAATGTACTATCCTTAAACTGGGACAAATTAAGCAGATCCGCTGCATGGTTGGGTCAATTTATGGGCAATTAATAGTAGGGTCTTCAAGCAGGTCAAAATGTACACAGCAAACTCCCCCCCCAAATAATAATAATAATAATAATAATAATAATAATAATAATAATAATAATAATAATAATAATGCAAATTCTGCTGACGTTATCTGTGTTTGTGGACTTGAGATGTTCCTAACCCGGAAAGAAGGGAACCAATACTTCATTGTACCCTTGAATTAGAAGCCGTAGTGCTTATAGTGAACTGCACCATAAATGTTTAATCTTGTGGTCTTTCCAGTGTTGTCTCCACCTCTGATAGCAGTAAAGATCAGTCTGCTTTTGTAGAGGATAGGATCATTATTGTGCACGCTTGATAGCAGTGGAGAAATTGGGAAGGCGTGGGGTGTGTCTGTATTAACCAGTGGAATAGAATATTCTCACAAATAAGTTTGACAAGAGAGGCTTCCATGCAAGGCTGCTTCATCAAAATTATTCCTATTCTGGATTTTAAAAAAAATGACAAGCAAGGCTATACCTGGGCCCATTTGCAGAATAGGTCAGCAGCTAGGCAAAGCACCTGTGCAGGCATCCAGAGATCACTTTCTGAACAGCTGCAAGAAACTTTGCAGAATGCCTTTTTTTTTACAAATCTCTCGTCTAGATATGATATCAGTGTGTTCAGTTCACACCAGGAGTGGTGCTGGCAGAGAACTCAGGTTCAAATATTTCAAGCGGCCACAAAACCCCAAGCTTCAGCATTAAAGCAGCTTTAATATTCTTCCAAAAGGTCCAGCAGGCTTCCTTCTCTAGTTCTTCAGAAGGAAGAGTAAAAAAAAAAATCAAAGACAATTTCATTAGCCTGGCTGTCAAAAAAATAACCAGGCTTGCAGACACTTATAATCAATTCAATAATCCTTGGCTCTCAGCAATTGTATTTTTCAAAAGTATCTAGAAATAACTTTCGTGCTCAAAGAACACTAAATAATTCTGATCAAACATTTTATCTAAGAAGGTTTGTGAGATATAGTGAAATGCCTTATGCAACTTAACTTAGTTGTTTTCTTGTTCTAAAGCAGGGGGGTCTTCAAGCTTGGCCCTTTTATGACTTGTGGACTTCAACTCCCAGAATTCCTCAGCCAGCATGCCTAGCTGAGGAATTCTGGGAATTGAAGTCCACAAGTCATAAAAGGGCCAGGTTTGGAGACCTCTGTTCTAAAGCCAGAGGGGGGTCTTTCCTTGTCAATTGACAGTTCTGGTGATTAAACACCGAATCTTCTGATGCCCATTCCTAGCCGTACCACATGTTGTTCTTCAGAAAAAAAATATTGTGGAAAATTTTCCTAATCCTATATCTCTTGAAAAACTACAGGCCTGCTTATTCTGTTTAATAATTTACACAGGTAGTCCTCGACTTACAAGTGTTCATTTAACAACTGGTCAGAATTATAGAGGCACTAAAAAAAAAAAGTGATTTAGGGAGTGTCCCCACAGTCACTTGATGAAAATTTGGGTGCTTGGCAACCAGCATGCATTTAGGATAGTTGTAATGTTCTGGATTCATCTGATCACCATTTGCAACTTTCCCAGCTGGCTTCTGACAAAAAATAAAGATCAATGGCCAAGAGAAGCTTGATTCTCTTAATGGCCACGTGACTCACTTAACAAGTGCAATGGTTCACTTAACAATCGCGGCACAAAAGGTCCTAAAATTGGGCATGGATTCATTTAACAACCGTTTTGTTTAGCTGCGGAAATTCTGGTCATATGTCAAGGACTACCTGTATCTGTAGTCTGTTGTCAACATCAGCTGTTAGTAGAAAGCCAATCTTTTATATTTTAAATCTCTTTCATAATCAAATGTGCAGCTTATGGAGCTGGCCCTGCATAATATACCTTAAATCAGGAGTTCCCAACCGGGGGTGCGAGAAGATATTCCAGGGAGTGCAAAAACCTGGGTTTTCAAAATTACAGTGTATTTGCATAATTCATGGCCGTTATTTTGAACTTTTGTAAGGGGTGTGAGAATGTATATATCAAAAGCGTTTTAGGGGTGCGGGGTATATAAAAGGTTGGGAGTTGCTGCCTTAAATATACTATCGACACAGAGATTTTAATGATATGGCTTCGTGCTAACAGACCACAATTTTGCTGTTTGCAGACCTCTGAAACTCTTCATTTTACTCTGAATCATAAAAACTCTTCTTAAACAGCCACAAGTTTATGGCAGAGATTGAGATTACTTGATCCTCAATCTATTGGAGTCTCTTTTAGCACTTAGTCTCAGCTCGAACCATTTCCACCAGACAAAAAAGAACCATTTAACCCAATGTCTGCAATCATTTTTTATTTCTGGAAGTCTTATAGTACATCCTAGGAAAGCACATAGCCACGTTGTCATCGTGATTTTATCTTTATTTCGCCTCTTCGTTGGGGCTTATTTAGTATTTGTATTAAAAATACGTTTAGTGTTCACAGGGAGAGAAACATTCTCCATTTCTTAACCGTAACCCCTTCTTTTTTATAAAACAAATATATATACAAAGTATGCAGATCCGGTGGCAGATTTGTTGGATCGTTGGGGTGTGTTTAAGGCTCGACTCTTCCGGGAATCCTGTGTTTTCCACAGAGGAAATTATGTGAAAGATCTTAGCCGGCTTGGGCGAGAATTGAGCAAAGTCATCATTGTAGACAATTCTCCTGCATCTTACATCTTCCACCCTGAAAATGCAGTAAGTAGCTTTGCTCTCAATTTTGTTGTTGTTCAGTTGCTAAGTTGTGTCCGAGTCTTCGTGACCCCACGGACCATAGCATGCCAAGCCACCCTGTTCTCCACTGTCTTCACATTAACCTGTGAAGTGTTAGTGTCACTTTACACTGCCTTGGTAAGGCCAAACTTGGAATACTGCATCCAGTTTTGGTCACCACAATGTAAAAAAGATGTTGAGACTCTAGAAAGAGTACAAAGAAGAGCAACAAAGATGATCAGGGGACTGGAGGCTAAAACATATAAGGAACGGTTGCAGGAATTGGGTATGTCTAGTTTAGTGAAGAGAAGGACGAGGGGTGACATGATAGCAGTCTTCCAATATCTCAGGGGTTTCCACAAAGAAGAGGGAGTCAAGCTATTCTCCAAGGCGCCTGAAGACAGGACAAGAAGCAACGGATGGAAACTGAATAAAAAGAGAAGCAACCTGGAATTAAGGAGAAATTTCCTGACAGTTAGAATAATCAGTCAGTAGAACGACTTGCCTCCAGAAGTTGTGGGTGCTTCAACACTGGAGGTTTTAAAGAAGAGATTGGACAACTATTTGTCTGAAATGGTATGGGGTCTCCTGCTTGAGCAGGGGGTTGGACTAGAAGACCTCCAAGGTCCCTTCCAACTCTGTGATGATGTTATTCTGTCTCCTGGAGTTTTCCCAGATTTGTGTTCCTTGTGTCGATGACATCATCTAACTGTCTCATCCTCTGCCATCCCCTTCTCCTTCTACCTTCCATCTTTCCCAACATCAGGGTCTTCTCCGAGGAGTCCCCACTTCTCATTTGGTGGCCAAAGTATTTGGGCTTCAGCTTCAGGATCTGCCCTTCCAAAGGACAGTCAAAGTTGACTTCCTTTAGGATTGGCAGATTGGATTTCCTTGCAGTCCAAGAGACTCTCTAGAGTCTTCTTCAACTGTGGTTGCAATATATGGAAGTATTTTTGCCCTTGGACTTGTCTAGAGAGATATTTGTTGACTTTTTTATTTTAAAAAAAGAGGGAATAGGCTTCAGTGTGATAGTTTAGTAAGAAATTTGGGAACCTGCCATTAGGGAATTATCAGTCTTTGGTCATTTACCAAAGAAACCATGAATTAAATTCATGAATTAAAGAAGAGAGCCTTCTGTGCTGTTGCCTCCACCCCGTGGAACATTCTCCCGCTGGAGGTAAGATGGAGCCCCGTTCTCCAGACCTTCTGGAAAGCTGTAAAAACATGGCTTGGCTTTACAGCCTGCAGGTGAGCACACAGCCCTAGGTCTGACTATCACCCTGAAAGTTCCCTTCCTTTTAATTAACACATTTATTTTTAATTTATCCCTTCCTTTTTAAATTTTGTACACTCTTTTTATATTTTAATATTTTATTTGTACGCCGCACAGAGTCCTTCTGTGATAGAGAGGGGTGGTTTCAAAGTTTAATAAAATAAAGCCTCAAGTGCCAAATTATGCATGAGAAAATCCAGTGTGGCTTGGTAGAGTCCCACCCTGAAAGAGGCAGCTCTCTAGAAAGGGACAGAAATAAGATAATTAATGATGTTACCTAGTTGGATAATGAAACCTCTGCAAGCAAACAATCCAACTGAGCGAGATGGCCAGTTTCGTCTATGGTTAAGGCATCAGGTTACAAAGCAGGAGACGGCGAGTTCTAGTCCCGCTATCGGCATGAAAGCTGGCTAAGTAACTGGGCCAATCACCAGGAGAATCTGAGTTTTAGTCCCGCCTCAGGCACGAAAGCCAGGGGAATGACTGGGCCAATCACCAGGAGACAGTGAGTTCTAGTCCCGCCTTAGGCATGAAAGCCAGCTGGGTGATTGTGGGCCAGGCCCTTTCTCTCAGCCCAACCCACCTTTTTAATAATAATAATATTTGGAAAGGACCTTGGAGGTCATCTAGTCCAACCCCCTGCTCAGGCAGGAGACCCTATACAATTTCGGACAAATGACAATCTCTTCTTAAAAACTTCCAGTGTTGGAGCATTCACCGCTTCTGGAGGCAGGTTGTTCCACTGGTTAATTGTTCTCACTGTCAGGAATTTTCTCCTTAGTTCCGGGTTCCTTGATTAGTTTCACAGGGTGGTTTTTGTGATAAAACTAGGAGAAGGAAGGTGTACTGGATATGTTTGCCACCTTGAGTTATTTGTAAAAATAATAAAGATGGGATAGAAATAAATGAATAAAATACAAAGCGATCTACTTGAATAAATGCAAATGAACCCCTTGACTTTGCCTGGAACTTCATGACTGGAGCTACTGTGTGTGAGAGACTTTCTGCTTGCCTTCCTATACATTTTGTCTTCGACATAACAACCACAACTGAGTCCAGGTTTTCCACTGTTAAACAATCGTTACGTGAGTTTTACCCCTTTTTATCACCTTTCTTGCCACAGGTGTTCAGTGAACTACTGCAGTTGTTAAGTTAGTAGCACGGTTGTTAAGTGAATCTGGCTTTCCTCGTTGACTCTGCTTTTCATAAGGTCACAAAAGGGGATCACGTGACCCCAGGACCTTGTAGCTGTCATAAACAGGAGCCAGTTGCCAAGCGCCTGAATTTTGATCACCTAACCACGGGGATGCTACAACGGTCGTAAGTGCGAAAAACAAGTCATAAGTCACTTTTTTTCAGTGCGGTTGTAACTCCCAACAGTCACTAAATCAATGGCTGTAAGTCCAGGACTCCCTATACCACGTTCAGATGGGCTTGTGTCAGTCAATCAGTCTTTTCCTAGGGCAGGGGTAGGCCACCTTGGCTCTTTTATGACTCGTGGACTTCAATTCCCAGAATTCCTGAGCCAGCCATGCTGAGGAGAAATAGAGAGGTTTCCAAGCTGAGCCATGCTGGCTCAGGAATTCTGGGAGTTGAAGTCCACGAGTCATGAAGGGGCCATAGTTCCCCCATGCTGGCTCAGGAATTCTGGGAGTTGAAGTCCACAGGTTGTAAAGTTGCCATAATTGTTCACCAATGAGCTAGCCCAGGGGTGGACAACCTTGGCTCTTTTATGACTGGTGGACTTCAACTCCCAGAATTCCTGAGCCAGCCATGCTGAGGGGAAAGGGAGAGGTTTCCAAGCTGAGCCATGCTGGCTCAGGAATTCTGGGAGTTGAAGTCCACGAGTCATAAAAGAGCCGAGGTGGCCTACCCCTGCCCTAGGGAATTCCTTGAAGGTCCAAGGATTGCAGGATTATTATTTTATGAATAATAATATTAGATATTGGGGTGGTTTTGTTTTTTTTTTTGTTTCTTTCAGGTGCCTGTTCAGTCCTGGTTTGATGACATGACAGACACAGAATTGTTAGACCTTATTCCTTTCTTCGAAGGATTGAGTCAAGAGGAAGAAGTCTACACAATGCTCCATAAGCTGTGCAACAGGTAGCCTTCTGAACGCCGGTCCTTGTTGCTTTACCGCGACCCGCCGAAGCATCTCACAGTGGCTGCTCTGGATGTTTCCGATCTTCCTCTGCCAGGAAAGACGAATCCTGACTCAGTGCTTCTAAATCATGGGGTTGACCTAACGCTCTAGGGTGACCAGAACTACTTTTTAAAACAAAAAAAAAATCAAGAAAGAGAAGATAAAGAAATAGCAGCTATTTTGAATGGGGCTTTTAACGCATTTCATAAACAGACGCGTTTTACAGATCCTGCTTTTTTTCTTAAAACATGCCAAAAAAAAGAAGAAGAAAAAAAAAAAAAGAAAGAAAGCTTGGTGTTAACTTCAAACAGTCCCCCCCCCCTTCCCAGCTCATCCTGCTATGCAGAGTGTTTTTCCCACCCCACCCTGCTTCTTAGAGCAGTTGACCTGACTCTGAACCTAATTTCTTCCAGGATGAAGTGCCTTTTTGAATGTTGTTTTAAGATTTAAAAAAAAAAATCACTTTTGTATAAGGGGTATTTCCAAAATCTTTTAGTCTTGTATTGTTTAAATGCTTGAAGAAGAAAAAAAAAAAGACAAAGAAGAGTTGGGAGACTTTTTATAGAGCAACGTATAAACTATGGAATCAAAGGAGAAACTGGGGGAAGCTTGTGGATTCCACTCTCCAAGTTACTGTCCTTTAAAAAAAAACAAAAAAAAAACAATGGCTATATTTTGTACCACATTTGAAGCTGCGTACCAATAGGTAGAAGTAAATGGGATAATATCCAGAGTGGAGATGCAACTTCCCTTGCTGATTTTGGGTAACTAACGGTTTGCACTTAGATTATTAGGGCATTTCTGCATTTTATTTTATTTTTTTAAAATTGTGGCATTCAGCAAAATGGAATGGGAAACGCCCATCCTATGTCAGCCCTTGTTCCCTTCAAGAAGAGTCTTTGATTGTGTTTGCTAACGCACAACTGCCTGGTGTTTCTGATGTCAGGGATGAAATAGAGAGAAAGCATAGAAGACAATGAGTGTATTTATTAAGTGTGAGATATTTATAGTGAGCTGTTTCAAACGATGGGCTAAAGTCCCGGGAGGGGGGGGGAAAAGGAAGTTTCTTTCCACAATCCTCCTTCTTTCAATGGTCCTTGTGCAAGACGCTTTCCTTTATTATTATTATTTTTAAAGCTGTGCCCTGTGTTTTGTTTTTTCTATTAACTGCTGCTCACCAAATGGAACTGAATGGAATGGCTCACCAAATGGAACTGAACCTTGGCTGTTATACTGTTCCTTGCCGCTGTGCCTGTTGCTACTGGAATTTCAAAAGACCTTTACATACTTATTTTCTGGCCAATGTAGTCAGGGGTCAATCAGTTAATTATTTATTTTTTTAAATTTACCATCAGTGTTTCCACGGTGGAATTTTTCTTCCCTTCATGCTTCTTCCATTTTTTTTAAAAAAAGAAAGAAAGAAATGAAAAATAGGGATGTTGTTTCCATGCTTTAATTCTATGATGGAAGATTTGATTTTTCTTTTTCTTAGCAACTTTCTAACCTGATCTAGGGTTGGTGCGTGGAGATCCTTAGAACTGGACATCATTTAGGGAAAATTGGGTTGCCCGAGTGAAAAGCTTTTAGTGTTTTTATTTGGTATGTGCTTATTCCTGAGTATAGAACAAGGTTTGATTTTCTCCAAAAAACCACAAACCTGTTAAGTACATTGGACTGAGACAGAGGTAAGCCACCTTGGCTCTTTTATGACGTGTGGACTTCAACTCCCAGAATTCCTGAGCCAGCATGGCTCGGCTTGGAAAACTCTCCCTTTCCCCTCAGCATGGCTGGCTCAGGAATTCTGGGAGTTGAAGTCCAGGAGTCATAAAAGAGCCAAGGTGGCCTACCCCTGGACTGAGAGAAAGCACAATTACACCACACTGATTTATACATTTTATTTTATTTTTTGTCTTTTGATCAAGATTGTCAAATCATTCTCTGTTCTTTAGATCAGACATGTCAAATACAAGGCCTGGGGGCCGGATGCGGCTCACGAAGTAGTTTCATGTGGCCTATGAAGCCATCCTGGAAACAGTGAGGGAACGGCCCCCGCTGCCTTGTGTTTGGCCCAGGCCGGCCGGGAGCAAATGTACAATTTTGTGGTGGCCATCTATGCTGAAATGCATTCAGCCTTAGCTCCATAAGCCCCCCCCACATGGCCTGAGAGGAACAGTGAGGCTCCTCCAGTGGACCATGCCTTGGCACTTGCCCTGGTCCCACCCCCTTCTGCCAGAGACCCTCAGATCTATCCCCACTCCTGCCCAGGCCCCCACAGGCACCCTTGACCCGAATGATGTAGAGCTGGCCACGCCCACCCAGTAGGCCACACCCACCCCATCCATGCCCTCCCAGTAGGCTGCACTCACCCTGACCACACCCACCCGGCCCCCTGAGAGCAATCACAATGCTGATGTGGCCCTCAATGAAATTGAGTTTGACACTCCTGCTTTAGATGGATGCTTTCTTTTTTTTTTTTAAATTCTTGGAGGGAAACATTGCGAAAAACATCAAGGATGTTGGTCTTCCATACAATATGTTTTTCTCTCTTTTTTGGACTTTTTGAATCTAAAAAAGGGTGCACTTCAGTCCTATTTTTCCATCCTCCTTGTAAATTCACTTTTATTCTTTTTTTTTTTACACCAACTGAAGTCCTTTGAAATGCTCAAATTAGCCATAGTGGACAAGAACTGTCTTAAAAAAAATAATTGGTGCTTATCTCAGTTTTTAAAAAAAACCTCTCAGAGGCTGAAATTGCAGGTTCTTGCTCCTTGCCTTTGCCCAATTTTCGTTGAATTTGTTAAAAGTGTCAAAAACAACAACAACCCAGAAGCAGTTAAGAAGCAGATAGGCCCTGTTGATTCAGTGTGAACATTCAGGCTAACATCCCTAGGCAGAAAACAGGAGATCAGAGGCACAGTAAAACAAAAAGCCAAAAACTAAACTTGTGACTCCCTCAAAAAGATTTTTAAGCAGTGCTTGGAGAGCTCTACAGTATTGTATAAGCAGGACAGTCCTATACGAACCCCAAAGAATTGTCTCTGCACATACCTTCATCTGATTGAAGGTCCTTCTTTTAATCGTACATTTTGTCCGCCAAGAATCTGATTTATAGAGAATAATAACCTCTGGAGTGTTGGTGGTTTTCTTTGCTTTTTCTTTCTTTCCTTCTTTCTTTTGTTTGAAGTTTTATTTGAATGCTGGTTAGGTCCATGAAACTTAACTTTAGTGACATCTTTAATTTGGGATTTGACTTGAAAAATAGTGAAGCATTTGTACTGCCAAAGCGTGTTCTCTAAGCAGTATTTTTTTTTCCACTGTGTTTCTGGCTATCTGAGCCACGGATACAGACTTGCAGGGAAAGAAATTCAGGTTGTAACAGGGGCAAATACGATGGTAACGGTTGAAGTTAAGTTGAAGAAAAGTTTCAGTGGTTTTTCTGGCTTGTCTTGAATCTTTTGATCTTCCCAACAACCAGTTTCCATCCTATCTTGCCCTTTCTAATACAATGTGTGTGTCTTTGACAGTTTTATGCGATCTGTTTGTGCATAACGCACGCCATTTTTGTTTGATGTTCACTTTTTTATAAAATCGGTGGGGGGTGGTTTTTTCTCCCTCTATCCGGTTGCCTTAAATGTCTGTGAATGAATGTCGGTTACGAAAAGTGTCTTGTAACATGGTGGGAATCCCACATCCAGCAGGCAATAGAACTTCCGGTGGGGGTCCCAATTCTGATAAATTCTGGGATGAGGAAATTGATCCATTTTTTGGAAAATCATGGTCACAACAGTTTTCCTAACTTGAGCACACTTTCAGGAAGTTACTTGTGGAAGTCTGAAGAAAATCTGTTTTAAAAATTTAGGCATTACTTCTGTTTTGTGTGGGGGATTTTCTGAGACAGTACATTTGGGGGAATTGTTTATCTTGTTTATGAAGCATCTTAACAGCCATATTCAAGGTGCTTAAGAATCTCTTAAAACTGTTGTCCTGGTTTCCTGATTTGTGATCTGTCGCCCGTTTGGAGAAGAAAATCAGTGAGCCATTAAGCTGTCCAATCAGTTATTTCCAAACTGTTTTAACACAAGGCAGAGGGTACCTTGTATGCAACGTGCAATCCTGCATTGCTGTAAACTAGAATTCTGTTGACATCTACACAGTTTTCAGAAACACACTGACCAGTTGCATTTGCCCTGGGTTGAACGCAACATGTTGGCTTCTTGTGGAAAGGTTAGCCAAGATGTTGCTCCTGATTGGAAGGGAAAGAGTCAACGACATCTACCACGTTCTGCAGCGTAACTGAATGATAGCACTTTGAATATCTGAATGCAAGCAGCTCAGGGAGCAGATAGGGGCGGAGTCAAAAAAGCCGATAAAAGCGGGCGGGGCTTCAGTCCTTACGGTTGCAGCCATCTTTAATCCACGAACCCTGCTCCAGAGCCCTGAATTCTACCTTCTGCTTGATTTGACTTGTTTTGTTAAAAACTATTATTACTCATCCCATGAAATGAAATTTAACAAAGTCATGGCCATCAATAAAATATTTCTGAAAATCCCTCCCCCCCGCCCCCGGATATGTAACTTTGCATATTCGGCTGCAAGTTTGATTTGCTTTTAATGCTCTGGATTTCTCTATACACAGGTGAATATAATAATAATAACAAAGTTGGAAGGGACCTTGGAGGTCATCTGGTCCAACCCTCTGCTCAGGCAGGAAACCCTATACCATTTCAGACAAAATGGCTGTCCCGTCAGTGATGTACATATTTCAACCTTGTGTCATTACTTGTTTTGAAGTGTTGCCTCTTGAGAAGTTCTGTTGTCAGTTGTATGTTGGGAGATTTTTTTTGCGTGTGTGTGTGTGTTTGTGGGGTGATTTACAAATGCAGCACCAGCACTTGAAGAGTTCCTAGAGTATAAAATTCTCTCCCCTTCTTCCTTTCAGTTTTCTTTGCACTCATAAGCAGCCTATGGATTCATTGGGTAGCATGAAAGAATTATGTCCACTCAGTCTTTCTTCTTGCTTGATAAAGTTACTCAGGTCTTTCCACAGTGAGTAACTTACACAGCAGGTGAAAAGAGAAATGAGAGACTTGACACTGCTGTTTTTTTCTAAACACTGACAGCTCTGCAGAATTGTTATTTCCATTATGTATTTCATTGTACTTAGTGTAATTCACCTCACCTTCTAATTTTGATCTCAATTTGGGAAGCAGAATGTCCCGGATACCAATAAACAAATATCCACAATAATTAAATAGACAAATATTGGCTGTGTCCAGAAATATATTTTATCAAAACTGGAAAGG